TCTCTCTCTCTCTTTCTTTCTTCAACCCGTTCTGACCAGCAGCGTCATTTTCCGTTTATTTCACTGGTTTTACCTGACGCTCGCTACGTTCACGTTCTTTTTTTTTCCAACGTAAGCTTCGCTCTGGCTTGGTCCGCCTCGCGGCGATCGAATTCCTCGATAAAGGCTCTCCGCGGATGGCCGAGCAGCGAGCGTTGATATATCTCGCAGGGAGGATAGCCGGCGCGCCGAAACTTATCCGCGCAGAAATTGCGGACACCTACCGCGTGAACGATGCAAAATAAATCAGATCTTTCGCCGATTTCCCTTCGCTTCGTAACGCGCTTTCAGTCGGCAACAGCTGACGCTTCCAGCCAGTTATGGAGTCTGACCGAATAATTTATCAACCAGCCGTTCCTCTTTGTCGATGACCGATGATTGTATGGGTGAAATGTCGTGCCACTCTGTCAGTATAAACCGGGCGTAACTCAAAAATGCTTCAACGATCGGTCGGTTCCTTTTTTTTTTTCAGTCAATTCGTCGAATTTTCGGTATAACGTGGAGATTGCCTTCTTCAATTTTTATTCTTTATTTTTATTTTTAATATTCAAACCGAAACTGAGTATCTAGTAACGATGGGCGGTTTTTTTTTTACTTTGCATACCAATGAAGATTCTGTTTCGATAATATTCGGAGATTGAAATATTTGAGAAATGGAAGCTTGAGTAAAGGAAACTTCATTGCCTCTAGATTTTATCGAAACAGAATGTGATGGATGATTTTCAGATGGACATTCTGTTTGTGTTAACATAATATTTTCTATTGTATTTATGCAAATTTATATCGGAGATAAATGATAATTGAAGAAATAGAGATATTTTCACTTGCCGAATATAATTATTTTACAGGTTATTTCCATAGATTATATATAAAACTGAAATGCATGATTGCGATGAACGTAAATGCAAACCTGCATACCCGATGGACATGATGTAGCGCGGCTGTAAATTAAATGAGGAATGACTAGCACGAATTAATGCAAGAATATGTCAGATAAGCCGCAGCGTTCTATAGCGTCAAAGATAAGTATTGTAACGAACAAATGGAAGAATTGAACATGAGTTGAAGTACATTACGTGAATCAGAAAGTATATAGAGATATACCATCTTTCCGTTTGTAATAGGTTACAGTAGAATTCAATTAGAATAAAAATTCTAAAACTATGATTATCAATCGCCCAAGAAGTGTTTCATTTCACCAATTACACTTCCCATCTAAACGATTCAATTTGGAAATCTCAATGATACTCAGTTTCATGTATATAAACTCGTGTGTATCGATGAACAAAAATTTATATTACTCGTCTTGATTTCTCTATCAAAATCTCAACTCACTTGCGTCCGTTATCGCGAGCAAAGAAAAGAAGTGTCTCCTCGATTCCGTTTTATATTTCCCGCACGACGAACTGACCGAAAACTTTCGAATTTCTGCCTCGAGACACAGGGAAACCAGAGATTCGGTTTTCAGTTCGTGCGATTACGAGGAAGGAAAAGTCCCGTTGCAAATAAGAGACGAAGGTACGGTCTTCCGTAATTTATCGAGGGGCGTGGTACGGGATCGTAGGAGAAAGATGGGAGGCGGTGCAGGAGTATCCAGTGGATTTGAACTTTCACCTCGGTCGGTTTCCATGGAAGGTGTCGAGTCAACTCGAGAGAAAAAGGAAAAAGGAAAAAAAAATGAAGAAGCAGACCGGTTGTTGGAAAAACGAAATAACTTCATTGCTGCAACTTCCTGATGAATCGTCGCGAACCGGAGAAACTCCGTGGCTACCGTCGATTTCCAGAATTCTCCTTAAAATCGCGTCACGAACCACGCTGGCACGCCCGTAACTCCCGCAACTTGAAACGCTAACGTGGTCGATTCGATTGGCGACTCTCGCGATTTGCTGATTCCGTGTGGCACGCGGTTTTTCCTCTCGCGTTCTATACCTCTCCCTCCCACCGATTTGCATCGCAGACGCTGCTGTCGAAGCGTGCAGCTTAATTCAGAAACGACGTCGATATTGTTTAGAATCTATGAAACAGTTTTATGGTACGTAGCGACGAGGAAGTCCTCAGCGAATATATTGAACTCCTCGTGAAACGAATGATTAGAGATATGGACAAAGTGTAACCTGAGGTAGTTGAAACTGAGATAAAAATTTATAGAAAATTATACATAAGAATATGATGCGATTGAAATTTGCTGCAAATTCATATTTTTATGACGATAATTAAAAGATTGAAATCCACGAAGACAACAGTTTCATTTTGTCTACTTTACGAAGACTAAGTAGTCGAGGTCAATCATTACTGAGAGCAAATTATTTTGTTATATTTTCTACTTAAAATCAATCGTCGCTACAGACAAAATATTCCACTTCCAAGCTAGTAAATTTTAATATAAAAATAAAGTGTGTTGTCTGACTAATGACTGATCTCATCTACTTGCTTCATTCGAACAGCAAAGTCTTTAACATAATATTTTTTCTTCGTGATATTATTGAGACCTACTACCTTCAGGAAATTCTAATCAATTGTACAATAGCAAATTCATCGTGTTATGCATATGTAACAGTATAAATATATAGAAAGGAGAAGAACAAATTATGTATTGTAATATTTACAAGATAGTTGCCTATCAACAATTTTCAACAAAATTCGAATGCCCATGCAGTTTCTTTCCTACGGTATTTAAATATTTCAATTCACGTGCACGTGAAGATTTAATTTCCATTGC